GTGCTCCAGCACCTCCCAGCCCAGCTCTGGCTGTGCCACCTCGGCCCCTCCCAGAGCTCTGGCTGCACAGGGACCCACAGGCTGAGCACAGCAGATGATGGTGGCTGCATTCTTCTCCCTCAGTGCTAGCTCTGGTTCACAGCAGCATTTCCCGAACTCCAGTGCCATTAAGGGTGTCACTTCCCCAGCACAAACCTCAATGTAACTCTCTGCTGGGGACTAAATGCCACTAAATGCCACTAAATTCACCCCCACGAGCAAAGTGCCACCAGTGTCCAGGTGTCCTTCAGCAGACACAGATCTCTGACATGTGGAGAAACAGATCCTGGTCCCAACATAACACACACATCCCTTGGAGACAGCACCAAATAATTCCTGGCTGCAGGAATTCACCTTCCCCTGTCCAAGCACCCCTGGTGCCACCATGGCTCTGTGGCTGCAGCTCCTGCAGCAGCTCTCACTGCCAGCCAGGGCAACTGGGGCATCAGTAACCCCTGAATATCCCTGGAGGGGGCCAAGCTCACAGTGCAGAGGGCACAGAGGGCACAGCAGAGTGCCGAGGGCACAAACTCCTGCTGGGGATCCCGAGCAGGACCCACGAGTGCCACAGCCCCTGGGCACTGCCAGGACGTGCCCTAGGTGCCCCTCAGTGAGACCCAAGCCTGGCTCCCCCTCAGTGGGGAGCTGTGCCTCCCCCTGTGCCCACCCCCACCACACATCACACCGCTCTGATTCACCGCAGCCGCCCCCGCTGGGGGGGCAGGGGCACAGCACAGAAAATACAACAGAAAACAGCAGAAAACAGCACAAAACACCCTCCCGAGCACCATGGAGCAGGCACAGCAGGAATTCATGCTCCTGGGGGCCATTCCTGAAGTAACAGCAGTGGGAGAGGTGCCTAGAGCAGGGGCAGGCAGCTCCAGCCCCACTCTGCACCGTGCCCGTGGAACAGCCCGTGCCAGTGCTGGCTGCCACCCCCTCCCACCCACAGCTCCCCAGCAAACCCTTCCCCAGGGCTGTGCCACAGCCCCACCACCCCCATGGGTGTCCCCCTGTGTCCCCAGCCCCACCTGCAGCTCCTTGTCCCCTGTGTCCCCCATGTCCCCAGCCCCACTTGCAGCTCCTTGTCCCCTGTGTCCCCCATGTCCCCAGCCCCACTTGCAGCTCCTTGTCCCCTGTGTCCCCCATGTCCCCAGCCCTACCTGCAGCTCCTTGTCCGAGTACTTCTGCGGGTTCTTGCTGCCCTGGCTCTTCTTGCGGAGTTTCTTCAGCTCTGCCTGGCACTTGTCCAGGGAGTCCCCCTTGCTCCTCTGCTCTGTCTGGTATTTCTTCAGCGCAGCCTGGGTGCCACAGGAGAAAGTTCTAAGCCTTGGCTGCATCTCCTGCTGCCAAGGGGTGACAGAACCAGAGTCCCTGGGACAGGGGGTCTCCCAAGGCCCAGAGATCACAGAGGGGACAATGTTCTGTGCCTGGTGACATGAGTGACACCCATGTGTAACCAGGCTCGGTGTGCCGTCCCCCAGCAGGCAGCAGGTGACAGGGCAGCCCCAGGGCTGTGCCAGACTCACACACACACATAACTCACACTCAGGTAGCGGGAGTCCAGCTCCACCTTCTGCTCCAGCTGCGTCAGGAGCTCGTTGTGGAAGGACTTGAGCTGCAGGGAGAAAGGAAACACACAGTGCTTGGGGAGGGCTGGCCTGGGGGGCAGTGGGTGGCACTGCAGAGGGGCTGCAGGGGCTGAGAGCAGAGAGGGACAGGCTCAGAGAGGGCCCAGCAGGGCTGAGAGGATGCCCAAGCAATGCAGACCCTTTGGAGCCCAGCAAATCCATGGCAGAGGGGCTGGTGGCATCTGGACACGGCATGGAAAAGCATTTCCCACTGCCAGGCACGCCAGGCTGGGCACTCACCATCTCCTCCAGCTGGTTCTGGATCTGCCTGTGCACCTCTGCCATCTGGAAGAGCACGTCCCCTGCAGAGACAGGACAGGCAGGGCTTGAGGCACCGAGCTCAGGGGACACCCCAGGGCTGGAGCAGCAGCACCCTGATGGCAAGGAGGGGTCCCCAGCCAGACCTGGGGGCTCCTGGAGTGTCCCTGTGCCCATCCTGGGGGGCTGCAGGGAGCCAATGCTCACCTGGGACAAACAGATCAACCTTGGGAGGCAGAGGGGAACCAGGAGCAGCAGCAGGACCCAACCCCAGGGGCAGCTCCCCTGGCTAGCACAGGGACAGGCACAGCCCTGGCACTCAGAGCAGGGCACAGGACACAGGGCTAAGCCTTGGGATCCCCACTGCAGCCATAGAATGCCAGCTCTGTTCTGTCACTTCCTTTGATTTTTCTTGTCCAAGGGCTGCAGCCCCACGCCCAGGGCTGTTCCTGGAGGAAGGGCTGCTCCTGCCTCAGCAGCCCCACACACACAGCAGCATCTTTCAGGAACAGAGCCAGCACTGAGAGCCCTGTCTGTGGAGCACAGCGAGCTTGGGGACAGCCCAGCTCTGTCAGCTCTTCTCAGGGCTGACTCTGGAAGCTTTTCCTTCCAGCATGGCAGGTTGCAGCTTCCCAAGAGGCTCCCAGCCCCTGTGGAGCTGTTTGTACACGAAAACCAGCATCTCACTGGGGCAAAGGAACGAGTGGGAGCCTCTCCCAGCCCCAGCCTGTCCCCCATGTCCCCCCACATCCCTGAGCATGTGGGGGTCACCACCCCCAGCTGACCAGGACCAACCTGCCTCAACATTGCTGTGCTCTCCTGCCTGGAGCAGTTTGTACTTTGCACCACACTCTGTGTGTCCCAAACCCTTCTGTAAACATTAAAATCCCCTCCTGGGCAGGCACTGACCCCACAGACCCGGCTGTGGCACTGGCTGTGGCAGGGCCACCATCCCCTGTGTTCCCTGAGCGAGCAGCACCGCCCAGGGTGTCCCACAAAGGGACAAA